GTATGCCGTAGTCATCTATTTGCCGTGAACGTGCACGCGCAAATCGTGCAATTGCCAAAGTTTAGTGCAGTTGCATCATCCACGTCTGCAGAGAAGCGCTAGGCTGGATGCGAAGTTGGTGTAAGCTGGGTTTGTAGTATGATGGATGCCCAAGTCTTGGTGGAAACTTTCCCTTTCGACAGCACACTGCCCAGCATGGCTCACAGGCCTTGTGTCATGCCGAAAGCGTAGTCGGTACGTGAGTAGGAAATGTGAGGAATTATGGACATGAAGTAGGCGGGCAGGGCTTCCCATCATGTCCCAACAAGACCTGGTTTGAACCACAGCGCCGAAAACATTTATTTACATTTTTGCTGCACGCCTTCACACAGAAGGGCTACAGAAGGAAAACTGACGGAAGGCTGTGTGCGAGACCAACGCATCACCTAGCATAAGTGTCAGACAGAGGGGAGGACGCCACTTGCTGGTTTGCAGAGGTCGGTGGCAATGTGAACTACTGTGACAACCCAGATCAACCTGTGCCCAACCAAGTCAGCGCACAGGTGGAAGGCATCCCAGATGGAACCTACACCATTTGTGTCAATCCACCACCAGGCATTTGCCCAACCTACGTGTGCATCTCAGGTGGGGTGGCCGGTCGAGTGTGCCTTGATTTGAGCACGCACGTGACTTGCATGGCTAGCTTTGCTGCAAGCAGTCGAAGACAACATCCTGTTTCAAAAGCCTGCAATGGTGCCTTTCACTTGTTGGGAAAGGTTGGATCCTTCGAAACAGGAACAGTCGTAAAAGGCGCTCTTGGAACCCAATAGTACAACTGAATGAACGTTTTCATCACCGAATGCTTCCTCATCAAATGATGGGCCTGAGCAATTCTCAGGAGTCCCTCCCCCACCCCTAGTCCAATCTAACCCGCCTTAAGATGAAGACCTTTTTCCTCTCCCGGATGTGATCTTGACGTGGGGAAGTCGGGTGCCTATGTTTGTTGACTGTTTCTCAAATCTGTATGTTCATGCGCCATGCCACTAAGCTTGAAGCGACACCTCCAAGATGTACACAACACATTCATGGGCATTATTCAAAGTCCTAGCAGTATGGACACAAGATCACTGTCACGACGTCAAAGGTGCAAGCAGGATTGAACAGCTGCTGCCTGCTGCCACGCAATTGCCCACGCACAACATCTCAGCTTGCCTGATTCGGATGACAGTTTTTGGAGCTCACTTGTTCAAGAAGAATGGAAAAACAGGTGCAGTGTAGATACGGGGCCGAGCCTTTCCTTTTGGTGCCATGGACTGCCCATTTGGGTGCCCGCCTCGCAGACAAAGTCCTGTTGGTGGCCCCTTGAAGACATCCACAGCCGACTACACCATAGCCCCTTTTTTGGGTGTCGTGTTTTGTGGAACGGATGGATTTGAAGGGAGCTTGCAGGGGTCTCTTGCAGGTTGCTCACAACCCGAATTGCCAGCAAAGCCCAACGAACCTGCTGTCCATTGTTCGGATGGCTGAGCAATGAATGCAGATGAACGCCTGTTGCAAGCAATTCCAAAGTTGAAAGCTCAAGACGTCTTAAGGCGGCTGTCCGGTCCAAAGACCAAATAATGTTGAATAGTTGAAGAACTTGCCTATCCGACATTGAGGGGAAAAATATGATGATCAATGTCATGCAGTTGACATTCGAGAGACTAGCCATCAAACACATCGCTACATACCTTTTTGCAAGAATGATGCCGCGTAGCTTCATTTGTGGACACTCATGCTGATTGCCTTTGATGCCACCTGGCTGTCCGCATGCTGCGCATTTGGCTCTGCTACGTTTGCTGCATGTTTCAAGAGTGGATCTTCAAAGCTACGCTGAGCAGCACGCTGATAGCCCCTCCTTGAATTCCTTGGATGTGACGAAGGGCACTGCCCAAAGAGTAGGTGCCCGCCTCAGATTCGACAGGAACCACCTCCTGTCACGCAATTTGGTCAAAGCAAATCGAAGCCGTTGATGGTGAGGCAGTGAGCATGGATGGACACCTGGTGCAAGCAAGTCCATGTCATAATCATTTTGATCAAGACGTTTGGCTTTGGGAGGCAGCCATGAATTTTTAGGGCCTCCAAAGCCTCCCCGCCCTAATCCAACTCCATAAAGGTCAGAGCTGTGCAAGGATCTTTGGACTTCCCGGCTTCGCCCTTAAACCTCCCATCAATGGCTTTGACTTCAACTATATAGTGTTTTGAAACATGGAGCTTCCGCGGCGCTTTCGCGACGACCATTTTTCACATTTTTGTCTCCATGCTTTGGGGGATCGCTCTTGGACAAGCACAGTGAAGCTTACAATGCAAAAACTCCATCCGGATTCCGGATTATTTTATCCCTGCAGCTGGAAGCGACGGCAAGTTTGCAAAGACCATGCAAGAAGCATAAGGTCAGCACAAGGCTTAGGCCGTACCACCAGGGCACGTAGCG